GGTTATATTCCCACTGGAGATGTTAGTACTTCTAACCCTCTGAAAAAGCTATTCCCCGCATGCATTTGAAAGGCAAATTTCAACAAAAAGCCATGGAAATATCCATGTCATTTTTATGCAATGTGGGCAAGATTTTCGACCCAGAAAAATTCATGATCGAAGTGGAAGCCATGAATACAGTACATCCAGTCTATTGATAGTCAATCCAAGTGTTCATCACACAAAGGCTAACTGTAATTAGGTACTCAACAATCGCTATTCTTCAACAGACAATGGAACAATAAAGATCACTTCAAAGCCTTTTTTATGCCATTCAAATGTAAAAGACTTGGGTGGAATATCTCTATTCAATACCCAAGGTAGGAAAATATCCACTTGGAAGAAGAAGGGACAATTGTGATAGACATAAGCTGGGATGTGCCTATCTATAAATAGCCCAGGTGTGACATTCCTATAGGGCTTTAAATAACACCTATATAGCTATCTTTGCTGTAGATATCTAGGCAAGCAGGTAAGTTTTAACAACACCATTGTAATTTCTAGATTCATAGATTTGGAAAAAAAGCTAGAATGTAATTTCCAAGCAGATTCTTTGAGCACTTGTTCTCATTCAAATGTACAAAATTCTGTCGCCACTCTTGACGACTAGGTATGAGCCAAATCACGGACCTCATCATTGCTTTCTTCATTATCCCAAGTACACTTTTGTAAGCTATATTAGTACATGATTGTATATACGTAGGAATAAAGAAATATTGAGAAAATTTGTGGTTGAAACTGTCATATGATTGGGGTCGAAATTACATTTATTTGCCCCTTTTTAGAAGTCAACCATATTATTGGATCACATGTCTCACAGCCTAGGTTTCTCTTGATACTAATAGCTAGGATTGCAAATTCAATTTCCTCTGTCTTATCTAATGCTATATCTTTATGCTGTATATTTGTCACAATAAAATTTCAATGTAGAACAAGATAGTTGTCAGCTCTTATAGCCCATGTAGGGCAGGACTGACTCAATAACTGTTAGAAACTTTGAATTGTTTATGTACAATGTATACTGTTTAGTGTTTACGCAGCATTCAAATTATAAGGATTTCCGGAAAGAAATTTACAAACTTTCCTTATTCTGGCCCCTGGCCATGTACTGTACATGCATCTTTGTTCTTGGTGTAACAAATTATAGGGCCAAGACCCTCTGCCCTGAGCCTTGTCTCCCTTTCTTTAGAATGGCAGTGGCCCAGAACAGGGGAAATTGTAGGTTGATTACAAGTTGGGACATCCCACTGTGACATAATGGGGGGGGTTGTAATCAGAGATTTCTCAGCTCTGGGGAAACTTTTTTTTGTGATGAGCAAAGTTTGGGGATATTCCAGTAAATGTTTGAAAGGGAGGACAATATTCAGGGATGTACCATTGATGAATATGATTGGTGTTACCAATTAGAAATTTGTGGAAATATTAGTCTTCTCATTCTTTGAAAACTTATTTTATATAAGATCTTATTTTGCTATCCACAAATCTTCATGTATACTGTAGGCTGTGTCTCTTCTTAACTGCAAGATTGCTTGTGTAAGTCATTTCATGACTTACCGTAAGTTACTCTAAGTGCAAAATACGCCCCCCTCCCTTTTGATCCCCTCCAGACTTCCTGGCCCCACTTCCAAGGCTGAACCTGAGGTTTTCAATTTTCCGTTATTTCATGGCGAGCGAACCGATTCCCTACGCTTCCCTGAAGGCCCACATCTGCCCGGCACCATGCTGGTCGCTTTGATACAGATCCTGGGCATTTACATGGGGTCACGGGTCTCTATGGGCCGGCACTTTGGAACCCACAAGTTGAAGTTCAAAACATCACCCACACCCCAAGGCCACAGCAAGTCATTTTTATGGATGACATCAGAGCACGCATTGATTTTCGCTTGATTTTGGGAAGGGAAACAAGAAATTTTGTTGCCCTCTGACAGTGGTCTTAAACAAGCTGAAAATGGGTTATCTGTGTATCAGTTCTGTGAATACAGGAATAAAAGACCTGTTGGGTATGATATCATGTTTTCTCACCTCAATTATTGTTACAAAGTTATTATGATCTCAAAATTTGAAAGTAGGAATCCTGTTTTTTTTTTGCCTTGCCTTGTTTTTTTCGCCCTATCGCATAAGATTTTGGGTTTGCAGAGGATGTCATCCATAAAATTTAATTGCTGTGGCCCAACACAGTATGTGGAAAACTTGATCCTCCAGATGTGTAGAAAGCATTGGAGGGGTCAACCGTTGCTATGACGATGGGATGACCTTGAATATTAGATTGTAAGGATCAACAGGCAGGCCGAGAAATTGGGTTCAAGGTCAGTTGAAGGATTATAAACGACCTTGCTGTCACTGTGGGTTGATGGATGGAATGTTAACGTGTAGGTTTTTGTAATTACAGATTTCGCAAAGTAAAAACCTGTTCATTTTCAAACTTTATTTTGTATCTGAGGGTATGTAGTGGTAATTATATTACAAGGGAATAAACATATAAACCTGAGGTACATATAAGAGCTGGAGTGGGCTAAAGTACATTTAGAACATTTTGTTACAAGCAGGCCATCACTATTGCTACGATAATATAATATACACGTAGTAATTTGGACAGATTTCGTTTACAACCGGTGTGACTTTTAGGTAGGTTTTAAGAAAAGTCAAGTTTAAAACTTTATAATAGAGTGGTTGTTCTCAGCACTTGATGATTTTCCAGTCTATCTTGTTTGAGAAAAATTTACTATAATGTAGATGTAGTTATGGGGCTTGATTCTGAACATGCCGATGTTTCGTCAGGATGAGTATAGGAATGTTTCCTGTCGAGACATTTACAGGGTGAACCAGTTTGTTACTCTATGGTGTCCTGGAACCAGTGAAGTTGAAACACAGGTCACAGGGCTCCAAATTCATTTTTGGGAATAGGTGCATGCACTGGTGCACCCAGCCTAAAAAATCGGGTGCACAAACATTTTTTGGCATGCACCATATAATAATGTCAGCAAAAACTGTTTCATTTCTAAAGAGAAGCACTACTACAAAGATTTATTATTTTTCTAGCACATGGATGTTCAGAATATGCTGTATACTACTATACATTTAACATCTTTGCATACTAATATGTAAGCCTACGAAAATATTTGGGTGTACTGGTGCACCCATAGAAGAAAATGGGTGCACAGCTCCAAATTTGGTGCACCAAGTAAGATGCACATGCAGTCAGTATTTCTAGCCCTAGGTCAAGTTTGTGTACAAATGTATCTTCTTCCCAGCCCCGACCACAGTAGACAGATGCCCTGAAGCCATTCCCATGTAAATTCCCCAGCCTTTCTTCCCTTCCCCTTTCTTCGAGCGGGGCGGAAGGAAGAAATTGCTGAATTCCATTTGGCGCAATTTTCCAGTCGGGGAGTTTTGCTGGGGAACAATGCTGGCATGCAAGTGGGCAGCAGATCTCTTTTCAACAAAATCCTGACCCTTTTGTTACCATGCAGAAATGTCAATGCAAGGGGCCTTTTTCAGGGCAAAGAGGGGGTTCTAACACCAGTAACAGAGTCTGTCTGTGATTTTTGTCCTCATTTAGGGGGCAGAGTTTTACCCGACTGGAAACTTAGAGCACGTCCAGTAAACTTGTGAGCAGCAAGAGATTGAGCAGACGCAGACAAGGCTTTAGAGTTACTCACAAGTAAGCTTAGCAGTTAGTCTTTGAGATAGAGGTCTGTAGGCTTCTTATAATGGAGAATCTGAGTGGGAAGATGCAGTTTTAGACTCCTTTGTTTGTTTTTAAGAGCACGAGTCTGGCTATTTCTGAATGGGTTTTGTCTGCGTCAGTCAGTGTAAAAATGTACAGTAGCTAAGATTTTCCTTAGCGTGTCGACTGTGAGAAACTAAGAATGGAAGAAGACTAGAAATATTCTTTTCATAATTTGTTTTGACAATTTGGTTTTGTAGTAATATGATGTTGTAATGATCGTTGTCATACAGTACTAGTATTTGTAGTATATGTACAGAATGAACAGTATGAAAACTGCATACACATGCTAGCGTACGAAAATTGCATATGTCAAATTTTTTCTGGGTGTCAACTGGCATGCTTTGACATATGTCAAGATATACGTTCAGTTCATATGCCAGCCCTTGAGGCAGCGTATGATCATTCTGAACATACATTCGTGACGTACATCATGTCAAAGAAGTCCGATTTACATGCAGAAAAAACGTACACAGTTTTCATAAGATCATTTGCCTGCATGTAAATTGGGTTGTTTTGCTGTTGCACAGCATTTAAATAACACCAACTTTAACTTAAAGTTTAAGAGCATGATGGGAGTCTAAAAGATTTACGTTCAGGAAATGATGAATGAACTGGAAGATTTAACCTATAAACAGTGGAGTTTGTCCATGTTTTAGACCTGTGTTTGAGAACACATGATGGTGTGTTAGCCTGTACTGTCCCAGGATATTTGTGGTCGCTTGTTGTTCCCTTTGAAACGTTGGAGGAGACATCCTGGCACTGTGCTTCATGTAAACACTGTCAGTCTGAGGCTGTCATTGGGGTAAACATGGCTGGAGATGGGGGCAAACCTAACACAGTGGATACAGTGTTAGAACCAGTAACAATGGTCTGAAAGGGAAATGGACTAGTAGATAGTTGAAAGTGAGAGTAGTCAAATAACGAGTTGAACTAACATTTATGTATTCTTCCATAAACATTACAAGTATACAATAGTATATATTTCCATCCATTAACGATAAGACTATACTCAGAGAAATACCAAAGATATTACTAGAAGTGGTTTAATCTGAAAATATTCAATATGTCAATTGTGACTGTTGTTATACAGAATATGATTGTTATGTTGAATATGCAAATTCCATGTCTATTTCTGTATAATTTTGCAGCAAAGGAGCACTTAAAAATAGTGCAGTATAATTACGTAGAATTTAGAAATAAACAAAGATTTGCCTTTTTTCTTGTCATGCAGGAAAGTTTTGTAGACCTTTGACCTGGTGCTGCTGGCCAATGGGGAGGCAGAATGAAGACACACCTCCAGCCACGTTGCTGCCGATTGGTCTGCTGCTGTGCTGATTGTTGAAGGTAGGTGGTGTCTGAGACTAAAATGGATATGTCATAATTATATGGTGGACATGGTGTTGGCTGTGTTCATCAGCTCCTCCTAGTGACATATGCTGAAACTGCAGCCATGAGTTTGACTGTTGTTGGGTCATCAGGTACAGTATGGATACAGAGAATAACAACAATCTTCATCTGTTACAACTCTGCTAGAATATTGGGGTAACTACAAAACCAGTAACAACTCTAACCTGCCTACATTTTTATGTCTATCAGACACCTTCCTTAGAGTTTCTCAAAAGCGGGGGGGGGGTGTTACCGGTTGTGTAAAAATAAAACCACAATATCCTATATTTACCGACCAGATAAAATTATTTTCTGTACTCTGACTGCTTTATTTCCGTAGGATATAAAATATATTTGCCCCATTCTCTGCAATGTTTATGTTAGCTCTGCTATACATTACAAAATGTATAATCTTCTTTTGTGAGGGCTAGGCTTGAGCCAATTAACACAAATTTATGGGATCTTATCAAGACCATCATAGATTTCTCTTCCCAACTGATGCTAACAACATGCTTCTCCTTTTATTTATTTGGTTAATTTCATTTCTGAGTTAATTAATTTCATCATTTCTGTGGAATGGAAATAGAAAAAAACGAGAACCAGTTAATCAAATCCACATGACCACACCAATTTTATTTGTTGGTTCACGGATTTGCCTGCTAATGTTTTTCTCACTTGCAAAAAAAAAATCATTTCAACCACTGAATCAAAATGCTCATATTTTGGCCCAAGCAGTTGAAGGAAGTCCCCTCTCTTCAGAGTTGTCACAGTTTTTCTATCTATCAATGCAGTGGTTTGATTAAAAGTTTGAAATTCGTTTTTTGAATTACAAACCAGCCTGGTATGTGGACTTTATGGCTCCTAGTAGTCCTATCATTGGATGCCAATGTCTGTTTTTATTTTTTGCCCTGCCGCTTCATATTTTTTCTGAAAAAAATTTGAGAACCAACAAATCAAATCTGTATGGCCTAATGGGAGAAAAGTTGTGTGTAGTGCTAATTCTACTCTCCATAATCGTGACAGCAGGTTTTCAGGGGTCAGGACTTGACTAATGGTGCCAGCGTGGTGCCAGGACAGTAATGATGTTGGATTCAGGATTTAATGTGTGTTGCGCATGCTTAATTACTTATTAGCATAAATTTGCAGCACCATCCCTTGGTAATAGCCCTCCCAGGGGGGTAGACAGCCTGTGGGATAATGGGGAGGCTAATGCCACACCTTTATGCTAGGCAGGTGGAAAAAGTTGCCCATAACTCACCTTCAAAAAGATGGCAATCATAAAAGCCATTTTCAATGTAGGTAGAAATGTACTAATGTAAACAACAAAAAATGTATATATCAAGGTGTCTTCATGCAGAATTTGATAATGATCTATTAAAATCTCACTGCAAAATAAAAAAAGAACTTAAATATTTATATTTACATGATGACTGCATAATAGCTTTGTGAGGTACAAAGTATTGTTAAATTGGCATGAAAGAGTCTATACTTAAAAGTAGATTTTAATTCTATGTGTGCAAAAGAGCACCTGTTTCAGTTACAAAAATGAAAGGCACTTTCACTGTGGTTTTCTATGAATGTTATAAGGATTTATTGTTTACCACAAGATTTAATGATCTGCCATAGATACCAGTTGTGATTGATGACACTCTGCAGAGATAGCCTTTATACAATCATACAGTGGAAATGAACAAAACCCTCGAAGTCAATTATGTGTCAACCTTACCAAAGAGTGCACTGTAATTATGAATGGCTGAAAAGTTTTCAGTAAATAATACAGTAAACTGATACTGAAATCTTGAAATTTTGTAGTGTTTTTTCTCACTGGCTACCATGAGCTGGTGTGTTATGCCAAAGGGCGATTATACCGGCTATACAGATACAGATAAAGATGAATTGTTGACACTGCAAATAAGCATTTCCAATATGTCAGCTCTGTAGACTCTGACTACAGAATGCCTTCTACCATGAACTTAAAACACTACAAAACCTATTTTCTGTTCTTGCAGATATTTACAGTAATATTACATCTTGATATGACATGTTTTACTTAAAAAGCGCACAAAATTTAATCAGTTGAAATTCCCATAGTTTAAAATGTAGGTGCTACTTTAAAATTCGGACACAATGATACTATAAACCTATATGTCAGAATGCCTAGTGTTTGCCAGAACAAAAAAAAATGTTTTATTTTTTAATGTGGAAAGAAAATTAATATGAACTGTTTTTTAAACCAGTCCTGACTGGTTAGATGTGAGCTAACGTCTGGGGAAAGTCACGTGACTTTTCTATAATATATTCAAAATGACGGACGAGGCTGCATTTTATCAGTCTTGACGTGTCATATATCACCACTCTGTTATCTAACGCGCCATTCCTCAACTGTCAAGGTTCTGCTCAACCCTTCAAGTTAATTAGATACTTCCATTAAACACTTGTATATTTACCCAAAATCATGACAAAAATTTATTGGATTTTACAAAGATTTCTGTAGTTAATGGTTCGCAGTAATTAAGTTACGATAAGTTATTGAGATAGTGAACATAATTTTTAATCATGGATGGAAAGACGTAGGTGGTATAATCTGCAGATTAACCAAAGTGCCGTTGGAAAGCCATTATTGGAATGCACAGATGGCAGATTATGAGGTTGATCCTTTGGAAAGCAAATTCTAAGCTATTGTACATTGTAGTTATCACAAACACACACATCTTTAAAAGCAATTTATGTGCACAAAAATGATACTATTTATTTATTGTATTATTTCTAGATTGGGTTTTTTAATAGTTTTTGTCTTTTTCATAACAATGACTTGAAATGATATCAGCCATTACTATTCATTAATACGTACATGACACTTAAAAAACGATAATAAATTTCCACTCTAAAAATTTGTACTAGTATATTGTAATTTTGTTATACATGTACCATTACCATGAAGATTATTATATTATACTAGCTGCAACTTATATGTTTATGCTATATTTCTTCAATGTTATTCATAGAATCATTGCAATATACACACTTCATGCTCGTAGGACTTTTTGAACATCCACAGAGATTTTTGTACCACAAAACCATTCGTTTTCATCCTGAAACTTTGACAGGTCCGGTCTCAGGGGGGAGGGGGCATGTATTTGTAAATTCCATCATGGACAAAGAATTTTATGACCTCATAAATGCATTTTCTTTATGTGTGCTTCTTGCAGATTCAAAGAAAAAAAGTTGCCTATCATTTAATCTGTACAATAATTTTTGTTCTGAACTTACAACAACTAATATTGCACAGAAAACAGTCAGTGTAACATCAAATTTTTGATATGTCTTTGTTCTTCTGCTATTGGGTGATGGATAGATCTCTTGATACATACATATTTGCAGTAAAATATTCTAGCAACAGAAACGTTATACGTCACTGTCACTACTACTACCATGCATGAGAATTTAGCTGGAAATTTATTTGCTTGATTGTTTGCTTGTTTGGAACTTTTGTTTGTGGTAAAATTAAGATAACTTTGATGTTCTGGAGTACATTGTCCCAAGAGAAATTCTGTGTATCAGAGCAGACTGCATTTAGCCATTTGTATGTTGTTGTGTACATGTAGCCTTTTATAAAGTAGGCAATTTAGAAATAGCCCAGGGCTAGTTTAGTAATACTATGAGTATGTTGTATGTGTACAATAGAGGGGAAATTTATGTACAGATTCTACACAAATCCCTAGTTTTATGTGGTTCAGTTGGATTCAGGCAATGTTCAAATTTTGGAATTGAAGCATTATATTTTATTTCATTAATGTCCAATTTTCATGTAAATTTACTTTGGATTTTGAGAATTTCATAGTAATAATAGTAATAACAGGCACATTGTATGTTTGTACATGTACATACATGTACATATAAGTCTGTGTTTGTTGTACCTTCTTCATACATGTACATGTAGTTTGCAAAAGAAACTTATGAAGTTTATTTTGTGAAACTGAAACATCTCCCAAACAGGCTTCATGAGTATGCTACACTGTTCTCTGGAAAAAGTTTGGTACAATTATCATATCCATCATGCTTTAATGTTTTATTTTATTATTCATGTGTATTAGCCTTATGTCTGGATAATGTAATTCGATAGCATTCCATTACCAAGGCTTTTATAATTTGTAGAAACAGCATAAAGTGTGAAATCCCACATGGGTCCAGGAAAGGTCTCTCTGCATATATGTATATCATGTATGCATAAAGTGTTCATAATGCTATATCCTAACCCATATCAAAAACATAAAATCATGTGTTGTGTATTTTGTTGTTTTTATAACAAACAAGTTCTGGCATGCATCTGAATGTAAACTTCTAAAGCAAAAGAGCAAAAAATTTAAAAGCAACCTAAAATTTTGTCCAAGTTGATACATTGTATTTTGATACAAATATAATATTATGACAACTTTAAACTGAACCTAAAATCTGAGAATTAAACTTTTTGTTTAATAACAAAACAGAAAAGTAGAACTGAAATGAGACCATCGTCATAAAAATTTAACTGATCCTAATAAATGATATTTGACTTTTACGATGATCTCAGTGACTTTTTGTCTTTTTGAAAAGTTAATGACCCATTCAGACAGAAAACTTCCACTCCAGAGAATAACATAATAAATGTACCATAATCACCAATAAAAACTCATGCATAGCAAACTGAGACTTGTAAATCCAATTTTACTTTCATGCCAGCAGTTTGAATCCTTAAAAAGCTTGTACAATGAAAAGGTATTCAAAGTTTGGTAGCTTATTTTATGACTTTTTGTTTATGGGAAAGTCATAGAAACTATACTCCCATGAAATTAATCTGAATCAAACTCTGATATATATATTACATGCCATACTATGGATATCAGTTGTTTTTGTACCTTTTTTTTATAAACTAGTACTACAAGCATTATGAGAAGTTTAGATGTTAGAAATGACCAGTC